CTGGTGCGAGTTGTAAGGATTTTTGCAAAATTTATGGATTTTTAGGGCTCTTTATGCAGGTAAACTACTTTTATTCCTGATTTAAACTAGCGATCTTGTGAGCAGCTGCAGCTGTATGCTTTTATTTTTTTCTGTCAGGCTGTCGGAGCGCTCCTCCTCCTCTGTCTGGTGCTGGTGTGGGGTGAAAATCCTCCACCTCAGACGTTCAGAGATGTAACTCTCTGCGTCGCTGTGATCACTCTCCGTGTAGCATCAATTATGCTAATGCTAGCTGCCTGTCACGTTCTCTCGTCCTGGCCACACCTCCGCTCTCTAACCCCGCCCCCTCCCCTACCCACTTTGATGCATTTTTCAAATTTCGCCTTGGGGCGGAGTTATCTTTTCACAGGGGGGTAAGATACACTTTAAAAAGTCTTAAAAGCATTGAATTTATCAGTCCAAAAATAAGGRCTTAATTGGCTTTAAAAAGTCTTAAATCAATCTTTCAGATGTCTTAAAATGTAAGTAGGATGATTGTAATTCCTCTCAAATATTAAAAGAATTGGTAACATTTATTTATCTTTTTAAATCATTTATTAAATGCCCCTCGCAGCTAAAAAAAAAATTGGCTAAAATTGTCGCTAACTGGGTTTTTTTCCAATTTGTGTTTATTGTGATGTTGGTCTTAAATCAAATTTTAAGTGGCATTAAATAAGTCTTAAATTTAGCTTGCCTTAAACCGTAGGAACGCTGACTCAATAAATTTATGTAAAATTAAGGTTCAGACCAAACAGTAATGTTTTATTATAAAACCAACAAGACAAATTAAATCATATCTCTGGATAAATGAATGATATCAGAAGGATCCAGGTATCAAAATGTAGCTTTTAAAGCAGGAATCTGAAAATGTAATCAGGTCATTTTGACCAAATTTGACTTAATCCTCATTTTGATYTGATGAGTCACAAATGTAGAATTTTTGCCGCCAGGTTTTATTTTATTAACTGACTCTGTGGTGTTTTTGCTGGAGACCATGCGAGCCTGAAACCTGCCCGTGCCTAGCACAACCACACAGCTTCACACGCACAAACACTCGGATCAGACGTGGTGACGTTTCAGCAGCACAACATTCACTCAACGAAGGACTCGCGTGCTGCAGGAGCCAACGGTTTCTCCAAAAGCTAAACTGGACTAACTTGTAAAACGATGAGGGAGGAGAAAAAATAACAAAACTGTGAGYTTTTTGTTACTGAATAAGCTAAAAGTTCATTTTGTTCATTTGAAGGTGCCTYTTAGGATCAAACGAATTCATGTCAGCTGTTTGGTGTGAAACAGACTCMACGTAACTTTGTTTTATTTAAAATTAGAAYCATTTCAAACTAGAGCTGCTGCTAAGAATGAATTATTGAAGGAACAAAGAAAAAACTAAATTTTAAAGGAAAACAATGCATGATGTGTTCCTTCTTTGGTGTATTTGGGTGTAAAATCTGTGCTGTTKGTTCCACAGAAACAAACTTTTAGCACTTTGTCATTTTTAGTTTGTTACAACAATGGTTCAGGC